TGAAGAGTAGCTTGCACTTCCGCCATGTCTTTTGCTAATTCATCTTTAGCGTCTGAGGCAGCTTTACAGCAGTTACAACACTAAAGAGAAACCTTTAAACTCCTGTGAAGCTGTGGCTTGACGGGCTTGCTCCAGCTTCACAAGAGTTCACTAGAGTGTGACGTAAAGCGGAACTAGTAAAGCAGCGAACGGCTACGACGGGGGGAGGAGGAGTGCAAAGCGCACCCCCCCCTCGTCGTCGCCGAACTGCGCCGTGAATTCTTCGTGAAACTTTAAGAATGAGTAACAGCGGACTGGACCAAGTGCGCAAAAATCTTGTTATTATCTCACAAAAGCCTTTTTACACATTAAAAAGCTGTAGATGTTTCCCCAGTAATTGAGTGGACGCTGCCTCCCTCCATCAATGCTCGTATCGGAAATTGGATCGTTGACGGGTGTTGTTTTAGTTTGATTTGTTGGTTCTATGGCGGTAGGCGTTTTTCGGTCCACGATGTGCTACCGCAGGCTTTTAGTGATGAATTCAAGATGGGAGCAGCTCTCATTCTGATTTGCATAACATCTCGCTGCCACCAGTGATGCTGGGCCAGTTGCTTTGCGAATGTGTGAGCAGATTCAGCAAATTCCATGGCGTCGATGTGCTGTCTACCATCTGGCCGCTGCGAACCCTCTGCGACCAGAATCGGGCAGACCCCGCCCTCAGTGTGGTGCCATTTCAAAGGCATGGAAGTCTTCGTGGAGATGAGAGGTGTATGGGGCCCGCATTTGATCACAATGCATGTACGCGACTGATTAGAATTTCATAGTACGTAATGCGCTGCTCGTCTATCCGCTCCTCCCACAGACGTTATTTCCAGTAGGTCAGCTCCTACAAGTGCTTTCAGTTTCCTTCTAACCACTTAGTTTTCCTGTTTGGTTGTAGCGCTTCTGTTTTTTTTAGACGCGTAATTCAGAAGAGCGCAGTTTGGCTTGGTGGGGGCACCAAATGATTCCTATCGAAGCTAGTTTTGCCCACCTTGCGAAGACTTATTAATTTCCGCAAGCAAAATGGCTAACATAACATTTCGATTACAGGTCCCATTGAAGTGTTATCTGGACTAACAAAAGGAACTAGCGGAAGTGCGAAATGCCCCTCCCGAACCCAACAACGCCATTTACAAGTCCTATAGTGGCTGTTGCCAAATTTCATTTGACATTACACAGCCTCTAAATGACAGCTAAATTTGGACTTCCAAATGACTTTTGTGGTGGCAGTTCAGGCAATTCACTGTGAGAGATCCTGTTGAGAATTATCACAGCGCCTAGGGTACTGTAGTCTAGCTACTTTCAAGCTGAACTTGCTTTTATGGCGAGTCACGATGAATGCTTGGAACACATTCACGGGTCTAGTTTGAAGGAATGTTAGCGCTTTCCGGCTTGGAGAAGGCATGCTGCACTTTGCTAGTTCGTTTTGTGAGTTTATATTGAATAACAGGTCCTGATAAGCTAGCTAGGTAGGCAGGTGAGGTAAGATAGATAGGTAAGGTAAGGGAGGTAGGTAGGTAATGTCTTTTGGTAAGATCTGTAATTTTCTGTGGATCTGCAAAGTAATGCTGAGCCACTTTGGTTACGGAAATTCACAGGTTTCCACAAGGTGGCCTGTACAAGCTTAGCTGAGTATCATTTAGTGCCCCTACCACGCCGAACTGTGCCAGAATATTTTCTGTGAGTTCTGCGGAAGAAGGTTGGGGTCAAAACCATATCTGACCAGGGCACATCAGTTGGTTGGGGATTTTAGTCGACTCTATACGACCCCCTCCCCAACAACGATGTGCCCTGTATCTGACCTAATAAATTTAGTTTTTTATCGTCTTGACCATCCAACTCATTCAGCAGGCAAAAAAAGTTCGCTTCATGATGCTACACGCAAGACTCATTCGGACCTCCTTACTAAGGGGTATAAAGTTACCTCGCATGGGGTAGTTTGAAGTAAAAAATGTCTTGGATGACTTCCTTTACCCAAGGTTAACTGTACTGGTCATGGGCTCTGCACAAGTAAAGTGAAGAACTCGATTTCCATCAAGATGGTATACATGCACCGCTGTACCATTGAAAATTTCAAGGTTTCTCACCTGCTATTCCTGAAGATCCTCTCTTTCCTTCCTTTGACACCACCTGGATGTAACGCTGAAGATTCATTGAGCCCAAAGTGGACAGGATTTGAGGTTCCAACTCGGCCACTTAACCTTAGCCGGATTAGGAAAAATGCAATAATCCCAGCCAGATTGGGAAAGCTAGCCTCCAACCCTCAACATTGGATCCAGTGATTCGGGAGTCCTGCATCACCTCGATAAAAACCCCACTCTCAAGTTCGGGCTTGCTGATAAGGAGCCTCCGCAGTTCGGCTTGGTGGGGGGGGGGAGCATGTTGCACTTTCGCTACTTCCCATCAAGGAGAGATCTAGAAAATCTTGTGAGCGATGAAGTGATACCAGACAACCCTTTGTAGAGACCACTTGTCAACTCTTGTAGAGCAAAAACAGAACGATGGGAAGTAGTGAAAGTGCGAAATGTCCCACCCCAAGCCGAACTGCGCCCATGTTCCTTCGTACATGGACCCTGCTGATTGCAGCTTACTCTTTACTGATCATCTGAATAAAGTAATTTTCTGATGTAGCCCAAAAGCTTCGCTGGTATAGCTGCCAGTAGTAAGTATGCCCAGAAAATCATTTTCAAAAAATAGCTCAAGTACCGTACGGAATAGGATCCCTTTACGGTCATCTAGCTATGGTCTCGTTTCCCCCTCTGGTCCCGTCCCCCTGCCGGTGACAGTTATGATGGTATGCCGGCTGCTCTTACGGTGTTCGATGAACGTAGCACAGGAAGAGCGAGCTCGACGCCACGGCGTGACAGGAATAATAATGAACGTCGGCGGATAATTCCATTTTGAGAGCGACGCTCGTTTCCAACCAAACAAGCGGATTACGGTAGCTACTGGGATTGCACTATGGTCACATTGACTGCATTGAAGCATTCATAGCGATTAAGTGGGTTAATTGAGTCATGCTCCAGTTTAGTCCAAGACAATGAACACTTATTTGTGCTGGTTACTAGGTTATTACTCGGCTGCCCCCTCTTTCGAGTTTCTGGAAGCTTTCCAAGTTGGCAATTTTCAGTTTGGCTTTTTTACGTTTTTTTTTCAGGAAGTTCAAAACATCCTTGCTCTGCAAAATGTAGATACACCATTGAAAGGCGGTTTGAACACCCCTCTGCAAGAAACGGACTTCTCAGGAGTTCTTCCAACACCTAAAGTTCAAGCTACACCAAATACTGTACTCAATGCTGTGGCAGCCACTCCAGCTAGCACATTTGGAGGTATTGATTGATTGCTTTGAGTGGTAGTTCCTCAAAAACCCTTGGTTTTTAGCGACACCCAGCTCTGTCGGCTCGTTCACACCTGGACCCGGAGGAGCGACACCCGCTTTCCGTGACCAGATGGGCATCAATGAAGGTGGAGCAACAGGTGGAATTGAAGCTAAAGCAGAGCTACGCAGAGCTTTGGCATCCCTGCCAGAGCCTCGTAATGACTATGAAATCGTGGCTCCTGACGCTGAGAGTGAAGAAGCTGAAGAAAAAGAGGAAAATGGAGAGGAATGGGTTGATGATGCTGCTGATGCAAAAGAAGCTCGTGCTAAAGCTCGTGCTCTCAAGAGACAGCGAGAGTTGGCCGCTAGAACTCAGGTAAGTGGTCATTAGGTTCGGAAAATGTGCCCAAATAATCTGATTGTCTTCAGGTCATTCAACGCTCCCTTCCAAAACCGTCGAAAGTATGTGACGCTGCCTTCAAGCCATCGCTGAACAGAACGGAAATGGCAAGGGTAGGTTGAGGGTATTTAATCTTTAATGGAATGTGCCTATTTTAACATCCCCATCAATCAATCTGTTATCTCATTGTCATCGTTTTGCGTGAAATTGACAGATTGCCTGGTGGGGGGGGGGGGGGAGGATGTTGTCGCGAGTACGTCTTCTTCATTATGACAAAGTGTTTGGAGATGGTGGTTGGTGATAGGCTGACGATATGTCATGTAGCACAGCTGCCCTCTGATAAATTAGCTCGCCACATCATCCAGGTTGCACCGTCGTGGCCCGATATGGGCCCCTTCCGATTGCCCTTGGCCCTAATTTCTACTGTTTTCAGGCTGATGATTTGATCAAAGCGGAAATGGCCCGATTGGTGGCGTGGGATGTTCAGAATCAAGTTCCCAGTGAAGTGTACGATGAAAGTGCTATTAAGAAGGCGTCAGAGATTATCACGTGGGTCTAATTTCCGGGTAGACAAGACAGTCGTAATATGCCGGGCAGGACAACTCATCCACTGCGAGCGAGGCCGCGCAGGCGATGGTCGAGTTGTCATGCGCAGCCGGGCGAGTTTGAACTGAGTGTTCAGCAGACAGGAAAGATCGACATAGCTCAGAATCAACATTCACAAGTTTCCCTGCTCCGATCTACAACGTGACATACATCAACGATTCGCCGCAGACCGCCGCACCATACGCCGCGCGCGACGGCGCGAAAAATTACGATTGTCTTGTCTGCCTCCCGGTCCTTTTCCTTGTCTCCACTGAATTTGGCGAATTTTAGGAAAAACTGCGAAGAAGGTCCTGCTCTGGACGCATCCATGTGGGCCGTAATAGAGCAGTGTAGTTCGGAGTTGGTACAAAGTCGTGGCAAGTTCACGCGAATTGCTGTGTTGTCTCGTGGAGATCAGATTGAAGCACTGCACTCGCAATTTCAGGTCGGAATCTTTTTTTTCTGAATTTCCCGCCAGTTCCCTGAATCAGGGTTGCCCACGAATACCATTTGTCCTTACAGATTTACCGTGATTGGATGAATGCCCGGGCGAAGAAGACGGGAAAGCTGGAAAAGAAGTTGAAAATCAAGCTTGGTGGTTATCAGGTTTGTCTCGGTTTTCTATTCTTACAAAGTTCAGAGAGGCGCAATTTGGCGACGGGGGGGGGGCATGCACTTTCTCTGCTTTTCATTTCCGTGTTCATTGCTCTACAGGAGTTGACAGGTATTCTAACAAGCGTTGACAGGTCTTCTCGGCAAACTTTGGCTGATATCATTTCGTGGCTTGACAAGATTTCACAGGTCTATACTTGATGGCTCGACATGTTGATGGGAAGTAGCAGAAGTGCAAAATGCCCCCCCCCCGCCTCCTGTCGCCGAACTTCGCCGTTAAGGTTCTGTGGAATGGTTTTTGATCGAACTGAGTCCCGTTGGCGGAAGATAGTGGATATTGCGAGCGAAGAAAGGGATTGGAGAGCTCATGCTGTTTTATTAGACCCTGGATGTCGGCCAAGTCTCATGACCGTAATTTATGCGCGAGCAAAATGCAGGGCAGGAGTACCACCACCAACGATTGCGCATTTTGTATGTAAATTTGATTAGATCTTCCCTCAGAGCTCGAGAAGCACTACAACGCGACGCGGCCGAGGATCAATTGGTTTATGTAGCGCTGTGTCATTATGACGCTACCTGGGAGTTTACTGAACTGGCGGAGGGATAGGTGAGGTAATCTAGGAAAGTAAGACGTAATTTGGGCGCTGTTCGGCTTGAGTGGGGCATTTTGCACTTCCGCTAGTTCCTTTACTTAGTTCAGGATAATGAACAAGTTACACTTCGGTGAAACCTGTAAATTCCTGTGAAGAATGTGAGTGACCTACTTTTTCCACAGGAATTTACTACAAGTTTTCACAAGGTAGTTTGAACTAGTTTCGCCAAGTCCTCTTGAATGCCCCCACCAAGCCGAACTGCGCCGTAATCGACCTATAAATTAGTATTCATGCTTAGAATATTGCGTACGGGTTATGTGCGGCAATTACGTCACTAGGAATCCAGATATGTCTATGTTGTCGGTCGATTATCTGAAGTGGACTGGGAAAGTTGTCACGGTGTCTTTAGGCATGGGACTGCCGATGGCAGGCCTGGGATCCCGATGACCATCCCATGGCTTGCCACAGTACTTTTTTCGGCGATTCAGGCCAGGGTTACCACCGCCTATTTGGTACAGCTGGCTGGTGACATTGAGCAGAGAACCCGGATTCTCTGAAAGAGTGGAATTTCTATGAGCGCTGTGTTCTTCTCGAGGTGATGAATTCAGAGCACCATCACAATGGGGAAATTTTTCAAAATAAGGGCGCCTGTCCGACAGGGGGGACGACACGTGGTACTTAACAAGGCCTGTACAGAACATCTTGTAAAAACCTGTGAACTCATTCAACCATAGCCGCTCAGGTGTACCACTCCGCAGCTTCACAAGTGCTTACAGTTTACACAAAAATGAGACCTGTTAGTTAACATGAACTAGAAAAAAGGAACTAGCGGAAGTGCAAAATGCCGCTCTCAAGAAGAGCAGCACTAAAAATAGTCTGCCGCCCCTTGCCAACATTCGTCGAGGAAGGTCAGTAGTTTTATGTCGAAGGAAAGGATTCTTAGTAGCTGCCTAGCTCGATAGTATAGCACCAGCGATGGCTGTAACTAACTCGCTAATCGAAAGGTCACGCTGAACTCAGGCGTGACAGCACGCATACCTTAAAGAGGCGCAGTTCGGCCTGGTGGGGGCAACAAGTGGCATTCCGTGAAGCCTGTTTGAACCATTTTGGGAAGGTTTGTGAATTTTTCGCTAGGAAAGTGGTTCAGTTGAACCATTTCGCAGCTTCAGAAGAGATTGCAGGTCTCAGTGAACGTGATTAGCAGAAGGAATAACGAGTGAAAAATACCCCTCCCGAGCTTAACAGCGCCCCTGAAGATTGTCGATCTTCGTGAACGGATGTCGGCAATAATTATTATTCAGTATACAAGGGAATGAGAGTCATATTGAGAAGTGGGCATGTCATGGCGCGAAGGAAAATTGGCTGTTTAGTCCGACTTCCTCCACCAGTGCCCCCACTGTGTACTGGTGCGACCGCCTCATATCTCAAGATTCCACTTCACCCATCTCATTATTTTGAGTTTTTCAGTACTCGCCAGTCTTGTTTCCACATCTCATTACCATAAACGAGTGCTATGTCCCTGAACCAACTATCTAAATTAACCCCTAAACGTGACGAACCTGTGCCAGACCATGGTGGATGGTGAGAACTCTATTAAAAGCGGACACAGATGTACTCCACTGTGAGTAAATTGCTCTGAAACAGGGTCTTTCGGTATGCCGCTTGAAAGGTGTCCTCCAACAGGCTCTTGGGAGGAATCTGCCTGTTCCCGAAATGGCTTCCCACCCTCAGCCTCAGTCTCACCATAATACAGTTCCCTATCAAGTAGATCCCACTTCACTGCAATTCGAATGGACCATGGCCGCCTGCGTTAGAGGACACGTTTTTCAGCTTCTTCGGTTCCTCTAAGACGCCCGAGAGCTCACCCCGAAATCGTTGTGGTTTCCATTCTGCTCTAGTGCTTGTGATGCTTTTTGCTGTAATTGCTTTCTTTTCCTTCATTTTTCTCACTTTCCCATTTTTTTCTCCCAGAGTATGCTGCTGTAGGCACACGCCCGAATGGTTAATTTACCTGCTGAGAGGATATTTGAAAGACTCTCTCGAAAATACTTATTGGCGCTGTTCGGTTTGGAAGGGGCATTCTGCACTTTCGCTGAATTCTTATTTTATTATTGCGTGTTACACTAAGCAGGTCACACTTTGCATCGCACCTGCCTTACCTTCTGTGAATGGCGACACTGTTTCGATTTATGACTGGTTCACAATAACTCAACTGACAAGTGCCTGTACAGTTTGGCCTGAGTACCATGTAGTGCCCGCCACACAATCGAGACTGCGCCGCATCCCTTTATGATGCAGGATAAGGGACAAATAGGGGTTATCAGCATGTGGGTAGTGCTGGCCGTGATTGTGAAAGGTTCTCCCTTTCCTTTATCCCTTGGCGTTCAACCAGCGAGGTCCCAAATGAGGATTTTTGACCGCTCGACGCTTCAAGTAGCTGTTCTGCATTTACAGCGTGAATGCGATATTGTATTCGAGGCCGTCAGCTAAAGACGGACATTCCTTGACGTGTCGTCGTTATACCCGCCGCGACCATTCGTAAAACAAAGCCATGTGATAATGAATGCTCTCGAAAATGTGGTGGTCCTACGACGAAAAAAAGACCTCTGTTAAATGGGATTATGGCGAATTCCAGGCAATCCATACGAATTTGGCGTCGAAATTGGCTGAAGTGAGAAATGAACTGGATATGGCGGCCATTGAAAAGGAAACCTTCAGGTGGGCTTAGGGATTTTTATAGAATTTTTGAGCAATACAAGATTATCTTCTTTCAGACGACTTGCTGAACATGAAATGAAATCGATCAATAAAAGAGTTTCTCGTTTGAAAGAAGAAGTTCGACAGCAAGAAGCGCGAGAAAGGGAGCTACAGAAGACATACGGGAAGTTGAAAGGTGATTTTTTAGCGTAGTTTGTTTCTTCATGACCTTTTAGGGGGGAGGCCAGCGACGGAGGGGGGTCATTTTGCTCATTGCTACTTCCCATCAACGTGTCGACCCATCTAGAGAGCTGTTTGATGGCTTACAGGAGCTGACAGGTTTTACCATGGTGGCTGGACGAGCTTGGTCTAGCTTCAAAAGAGCTGACAGGGTTTCACAGTGAAGAAGCGAATGTGCAAAATGCCCCCCCCCCCTTCGCCGTACTGCCCACTTTCCCTTTTTCCTGACCCTCTGGTTTATTGATTGGTTGCAGATCAGCGCTGGAAACTGGAACAGTACGAGATCCGCAGCCAAGCAACGGTCCAAGCAGAACCTGTCACGTACCAGGCAGCAGAAGCATGAACTTTATGAAGAGTGATGTTATTGTTTGTGTATTTATTCGTACTAAACTGTTACCATCCATAATGTTCTGTTACATTCGATTTCCCGTAGAGAGTCGCACAATTTAGTAGGTGTGAAAGGTAAAGGCTGGGTGAAGTGGGCATTACGTACGGTTATAATCTGTTGCGGCATGCCTTTTTGCCGGCGACCGATGCCGTGCCACTTACCGTAATCTGCCCCGCTCTCGGAGACGAGACATGAGAGCGTTTTTGTCGCGTAGAATATCGTTCACACCGTGAGAGGAGTCGATTCAAATAGCTGGAAAAAAACTGGAGTCGAGGGTGAGAAGCCAATTCGGCGGTGGGTAGGAATTTCCTCCCATGGGTATCTACTGGACAAGATCGCTCGGGAGCCAGTCCCCTGAACGACCCTGGGGGCAGTTCGGCGACGGGGGGGCATTTTACTTTTTTGTTATTTCCTACTAATGTGTCGACCCATCTCAATAGACATTTTGTGAGCTTACAAGGGTTGACAGGTATTACTAGGTGCTGACATGTGGCTGCTACAGCTCCACAAGAGTTCACAGGTTTCACCAGGGTGAGACTTGTAAACCGGACTAGTGAAGCAGCGAAAGAGCGAAATCCTTCCCCCCCCTCGTTGCCGAACTGCAGCTGGTCCTGTACACTAGGTACTCACTGGAAGGACATCTATGTCCACTCCTGAATAGGCTCTACCCTGGTTTTTAAGTCTGGCGCAGGTTCAGGGACCAATTTATTGGGTTGGTTCAGAGACAGAGCGCTCGTTTATGGTAATGAGATGTGGAAACGAAGTGTCTGCCGGCTGTGTTGTCCCTACAAAAGGCAAATGTTGCGATACGTCTCAGCAGGGCGCCACCGGGGATTTCACTGTTGCTGCCGTCTCTTCCCCCCCCCTCCCTCCCAACTAGCCCCAGTGTGCTACCGGTAGCCTGTTTTTTCGTTCCCGATTCAGGTCGCGCACGGCACGAGTCTGAAGCGAAGCTCATACGAATATCATGAATAAATTAACGTCTGATCAAACACAGTGGAACTATGTCAGGCGCCGGTGGAGTCGATCGATTTCACCCGCCTGGTTACGGTATCGGCCGAGGATGTGGTTTGGGTGGCTGGGCCGAGGGAAGCACGATCAGGGCTGCTAGACAAAGAATCGGGAGTAATTGATGTGATGGTGATGGGTGCGGCATGATAGTGTCATTTTGGGCAGCTGATGCTCGAGGTCGAGTGGGATCAAGCGGGATTCCCATGCAGGTGCTGGAACACAGGCTCCGCGTGATCCGGGTGGTGGTAAACGCAAAAAGAGCAGATACGTCGCAATACGAAGTGCAAACATTGTTATTACTAGGCGGTCGCTGCGACTTTGGGAACGAGGGGGAACCTTGGAGGAAGGGAACTCTGACAAGGTTGCCTTGAAAGGGGCAAAGGGAAACGACTGGAATTTCAACCAGGAGGGTCATATTTGAGTTGAGGGGGCTGATAGAGGTCTGCGAGGCGATGTACCTGGTGTGGAGGCTCCCTGTGATGAATCGCACGTAAAGGTTGAGAAGGGTGGTAATGAGGGTGGTGAAGTTAGACTTTGAGACGCTGGTCGGTTTAGGAGGGGTATTTCGCACTTCCGCTACTTTCTTTTACGACTTTCTGTCGAATTGCACGCCTCATCCTGATAAGCCCTGTAGACTCCTGACAAATGTCAGTGAAGGTCCTGCTATTGATCAGCTTTACAGGAAATCACAAGTTTTCACATGAGGCATCGGCAGTGATCGATGGGAGCCAGTAAAATGTCCCCACCAAACCGAACTGCGCTAACTTTTGGCAGGGTGCCTGAAGGAGTGGTAGTACATGAGACGGTGGTGGAGAAGGGAATGGCAGTAGGAGGGTCTTGAACGCTTAGTTCCCCTCAGCTAGGCGTAACCTAGCCAAGGACCTGGGCTAACGTTTTAGTTTCTGCTTCCCCAAGCGAACTCCAATGCTGTCGTGGCCATAGCTAAACCACTGGGTAAAAACTTGGAGTTCTAGCGCCCTCACCCTCGGATTAGCCCTTGACATAGCTGCCTCCCCCCGAGGATCTGAGGATGCAACTAGTGGCAGTTGGTAGCCGAATTATCGGTAGCCGTTTTGCTATTAGCGTTGACGTTTAGTCGCGGGCCACCGAGGGGGGTTCTTCCGTAGATGGCGATAATTGGGTGCGAGAGACAATTTGATCGTCGTATTCATGCGAAGAGCAGGTGCCTCGGCCGTTCTGGCCATCTTCGCCGCATCACATCGCCCAGTACTCCCCTAGTCAGTCAGTCAGTCAAGGCATGCGCAGGCGTTGAGTGACCAGTGTGAGTGACGGCATGACCGGAGACAATGCCATGCCCGATTAACCTCTTCACACCCCCTCTTAGTAAATGTGTGTGTTTGAATTTATGAGGTCTGGATGAGGTCTGCGCACGGAAAGGAAGGCAGACCCAGACCGGGATGATATGGCTTCGACCAGCGCTCCCACAGAACTCCATATCGTATGGTTTTAGTACGGCTTTTTTCGGCCGTACAGGTATACGGGCCAAGCAAAAACGACGGCCACTTTCGCACGATCCCGTCTGCTCACATGAATACGCTTATGTTTTTTTTCGATTGCACGCAAAAGTACAACCCCAGCCGGAGGTCCTCCTCACTTCAGCCCAACGTTTCAGCGCTATTACAACAAGTTGAGGCATTTCGGGGCCTAGGGCCTTAAAACAATGACTTTCTGCATGGTGGAACTGGGTCCACCGGCTCCGGAGCTCCTCTCTCCATACTTAAGGAGGTAAGCTGATCCCTATGGTTCCTTGGGTTTTTTCAGCGCTGAATTTTACCTAACGTAAAAAAACCGTAGAAAATGACGAGCAGACGAAGATAGTAGCATTAAAGGACTTCTGTGCGGAATAAGGATTACCGTAGTACACATACACACGAACTATTGCACGAATATGCCGCACCTTGGTGAGTTACCGTCAGGTCTTCCCTTAATGGCCCAATGAGCCAAAAATACAGCCGAAATGGTGAATCAACAAGCCTAATCGTATAAGAGGAGTCCTAAAACTGGGATCACCGTAATACCCACGAACTATTGCACCAATATGCCATATCTTACTAGATTACTGCCAGGTCCCCCCCCCCGTTAAGGACCCAAGTAACCGTCAAAAATCGGAGAAATGATGAATCAACAAGGTAGCGGCAGTAAAGAACACCTGTGCAAAATAGGGATTACCGTAATACGCACGAACTATTGCACCAATACACCACATCTTATCGGGCTACCGTAAGGCCTTCACCTAAGGGCACAAATAGT